TGATTATCACATGGATTTGATGTTAATGATTAAGCAACCCGCTGAGAGAGAAGAAGGTGTGACGATGGGGTTGGGGCGGGGTGGGGGTCGTTTTATTCTCAGTCTCACATGGCAGACTTTCATTTCCTTATTCATGGGTTTTCTCCTCCTTTGGAGACCTTCCGGAACAGTGTTGGAGGCATTTGCATGAGGTGGTACTAATATTTTTCAAAAGTTGTTGTCTGTAGTCTGTACCTTCCCCATCTTTTACTGTCTGTCTTTGTGATGTAATGCAATATATATATAATATGTCAAATGTAAGAGATCTTTTGTCGTTGGTGGAAAATTGAATATTTATTGCAAATAATGTGCGGATCACCAAGCTACTGCTGGTGGACCACCGGGCTCCCCCGGATCCCAGGTTGAGAACCCCTGCTTGATTTTCAGCCATAGCTGTCCTTTTGCATTTTAGTTAAAAAAAAAAAAAAAGACAAAGTATTGACTAGATATCAAACGTGTGACCTCTCGAATAGGTAAAGGGCAAGCATGTTGGCGCTTTTTGAAAACATGCCGCTTATCCCGGATGATTGTTTCAGTCCATTTTGGGGATTTCGGCTCTCATTAAAAGCAGCCAAGCTTACACGGGTGGCAGCAGGCCAGTAACTCAAGGCCAAAGGAGGTTTATTTTATCACGGGCAAAGGCACCAAATCATGGCGCTATGAAGGGACCTATATAAATGCAAATTGTAGTGGTTTGAGCTATTAGTCGTGGAAAAAAAAAAGGTTTTTATGTAAATGTCCTGTCGGACCACAGCGGAGCACTTGGTCACTTTGGATTAATGCTGCAAATGTGCCACTAAAGGCAAACGAAAAACAAATGCTAAATGCAATGTGCTTTGCTGCAAATGTGCTCTTTAGGATATAGAAGTTGGCTGGTTTTTGCTCTTTTTTTTTTTTGCCTTTCAATACTCTTGGTAGTGGCACCTTCTAAACCAGACCAGAAACCCAACCGGGAATGCTATAAATCTTCCCAAATCTAGATCTTGGAAACCAAGGCGAACCCCAAAAAGATCTCCTCAATCATAGTTTCCCTGTGGTTCTCCTTCTAACCATTTTCTCAGATTTCTGAATGCAAAATCGCTTTTCCAAATTTCGCTGCCATGCCATGGGCCTTTTTTTTCCAGCCAAAAGGGTCGAAAAGCCTCCAAGCCCGACTTCATCGTGACAGATGCATTTGTTTTTGTGAGGGGGCCTGTCCCACGTTCACAGCTGTCACAAAATCATTTTCTGGCTTTCATTGCTGCGGTCTTTATTCCAGGTAGCATTGGCAGGAACCCCTAATAGCAAAAATTCGTACTTTTATAGCCAGGCTGTGACAGGACAAACCTTCCAACCCACACCGCCAGCCGACAGAAAAATCACACTTTTCCAGATTCCATTTTTGGGTAATTTATTTTTCCCCAAGTCTGTGCCTGTTGCAAAATGTAATTTTTGGTGGGTCCTTTTTCAGTTAGGGGGTCTGAAAACCTCAACCAAAACAGATGTGGGGCCTCCCAACTTTGAGACCAAATGGCAAAAGAACCCACAAAATCACATGACTAGGCCCCACTTTCGCCAAGGTCCATTTTCACCATTTTTTAAAATCAGTCAATCAATCCATTGTAACTAGTCTCCTAATTTGTATTTTGGTACTATAGCATTAACTTTACTGTTAAAAATAAATCAAATGAAGTCAAGTAGATCGTTCCAAACGGACTGCACCAGTGGTATATTTAAAAACGGGGATAGCGCTCCCTCTAGCGTTTATTTTGGAACATGACACAACATACTTTTTTCCCCCTCACTGACAGTTTTCCTTTTGCTTTTTGTTATTGTGAACACCATTTTCAGTGAAATGAGGATCATATTTACATTATATACAATACAGGAATTTTGGTTTACAAGGGGATCTAAATCAACACAAGATGTTTACAACTTAAGTGATGGTCAAAACACGTAAAATCCAACTTAAATTTTGGAGAGCCACATCCGATCTTCATTTCTTCCGAAACCTTATATTCCTGCACACCCAACTCATGCCATCCTGTTTGGGAACAAGAACAAGTTAATGGGATTCATTCCAAAAGTTAATGTTGTAATACTTTGTATAGTGTTCATTTTTATTGCGACATGCGGAAGACTATTACTATAGTCTGTTTATTTTTTCCTGCATATGAAACCGCCTCTGCATTATACCAACCATCGCTGTCTCAATTTTAATCAAGAAAAACGATGACATATGGAATTGCAAACTTTTGGGGGGGCGGTGGGGCATTTTTACTATATTAAATGTAGCATATGTACCTGCAGTCCCTCGGTGGTGATGGCGGAGCAGGCCTGGACTTGCCACATGCGATCTCTGACCGTGTGCAGGTTGAGAGCCTCAGCCAGTTCGGAGGCCGACATGGCAGCGCTCAGGTCTTGCTTGTTGGCAAAGACCAGCAGCGGCACGCCGCCCAGATCGTTCTCCTCAAGCAGCTCGGCCAGCTCCTGCGCAAAAGCCCCATTGAGTTGTGGCGAACATTAAATCACGTTGCAAGATTAAAAATAAATAAATAAAAGGTAACAAACACATACTGTTTACACGCCTACACTTACATAGCTACAATGATGCCTAAAAATGAGAGCCGTCTCTATGCGATTTTTTTCCCTTCGACTTGCAAGTGAAAATGTGTTTGTGTGCCTGTGGGCGTGTGTGCGTGTGTTCGTCAAGGATGATGATAACACTTCATCTTTTTTTGATTTGAAAAAGTTCTGTTGTCGAGTTAGCTGGTGGGATCTAGCCATGTCCTCAACACCGCACTGCTTCCGCACGCCACTGACATGCGATTCTGGAAAAAATAATTGCCACCATAATTATGATTGATAATGGAATCAGTTTTACACTACTCTCAAACTGTGTTAAACATTTGAAAGCAAGCTCAGAGGGGACAGAATTCCTTTGAAATTTTTGATGAATTGCCCTGCCTTACAAGGCAGATGTGCGAACCACATGCAATTTCAAACGTCAACTCACCAGACTTGTCTCTTCAAACCGCTTTTTGTCCGAGCAGTCAATCACATAGATCTGCAACCACAAGTAACAACAATAATAACCCACGTACAGTAGTTAATATAAATAACAATACACCAAAAATGATAATGCAAGCCGCACCAACACATGTGTGTTTTCAAAGTAATTCTTCCAGTACGGGCGAATCTTCCGCTGTCCTCCAATGTCCCACACATTCAACTTGAAGCCTGAGGACTGGACGCTCTTGATGTTGAAGCCCTGCTCACACATAACAGTGGTGCCCTTAATGTGAGCTGTATGCTACCAATACGTTTGTTTCTTTGTTACCTGCGTAGGCGTAATGTGGCTGATGTCCTCGGCAGCCAGCTGTTTGAGCAGCGTAGTTTTGCCAGCATTGTCCAGGCCGAGCAGAAGCAAGCGCACCTCCTGGTCTTGAGGCTGTTTCAATCTCCGCAGGATGGACAGCAGGCCCTTCAGGAAAAAAAAAAAAAAGTCCACCCTTTTATCGTAACTGGTGGCCTACTGTTGAGAGCAGAACAGATTATGTTCGACCTGAAGAACTCCGTTGCCTTGCTCCTGTTACTGCCGTTGCTGTGGTGTGCATTGTTGTGGGGAAATCTCCCACAGGGTGAGATTAGGAAGGTACAGTGCGAATGGATGGCGTCCAAAAAAAGAGTTCAGGACGGCTTTGACTCCAAGCTATTTACTTCCCACGCAGCTAAGAATAAAACACTGTCACTCCACCCTGGAACAAATCGCGTGTACAAATTCGAATCTAGCGATGACGGGTTATTGAAGCTTGGCTGTGAATTTGGCACATGCCATCACAGCACTTGTCTTCTATTTCTCCCGTTAAATAGCTTGAGCTAAATTTGGTTGAACATAAAAAAAAAAAGACAGCCTGCACTACTAGTTACTCATGTCAAACATGAAAATATAGTCCAAAGAAGTATAGATGACCACATTTATGCTGAAAGTAATCAAAAAATTACAATAATGGAACCCACTCCTTCTTTTGACAGAATGCATTTTCCCTTCCCATTCGGAGACATCTAAAAACAACCCTTCATTAACTATTTATCAAGCAGGCATGTGGATAGATAACTTACCATGATGTCGTCCGGTGTATTGGTGGCTACTCCTCAGACTGACTGGATTAACATCGCCTTGCCCATGTGGAAGATCAACTGTCAGCAACACAGCATGCTGCGTGACCTCAAGTACCGGTATGTAACAACCACTTCAACGTTTTGGCGAATGTGATAAATGAATGAGAAGCTAAAATTCTGAAAATATCCACATACAAGTTGAAACTGTACATATACTTTGCAGACCTCTTTTGCATATACAGTACAGGGCCAGGCAAAAATGATCTGACACATTTGTGCAAAGAAGGTGCAATGAAATTGATTTTTAAAATGCTTTAAAAAAATTCACAGGTATGGGTGGGGCATAGTTTTCAACCTTGATTTGAAAGTATTGAGCATTTACACCCGGAGCTTAGAGGTGAATCGACTTGTTTGAAACGTGAAGTTTAGGACTTGAGTCTCATGACTTCCACATATACGAATTAATCCCATGACTGACATTTTCATCAAACACATTCTCAAAAGGTTAGATACCAAATAGCCTTGAATTTGAAATATGACGTCAGTTCCCAATCAGTTTAGTCAAAACAACGTCAACAGCGCCGCCTACAGCTCACCGATCCCCCTTACAGTTTCTCATATTACTCCATCTCAGTCAAGAAACAACATAAACATGTCGGAAGGCGACTGGCGGAACCGCTAAATAGAGCGCCACGGCCACCCGAAGTCACCTCGACACGTCTTCGAAATTTGATCCACTTTTGCTTGTATGGTTCCCGTCGTGTCGACGGCTGACAACCCAGGAAGATGCCGCAGAAAACGCTGGGATCCATTGTAGGGCTCCTGTGTACCGGGGTCTGTCTGGTGCAGGTAAGCCGACGTGAGCGCTCCCGAAGTCGGTCTACGCTCTCAGTCGAGGCCGAGGCTCGTGGGCTTGGCCAAGGCCTCTCCTCCCATCATTTTTTTTTTGTCTGCTCCACAAAAGATACTGACTCGGGCTCAGCTTGTGTTCGCTGCGGATGACGTCAGTTACTCAAAGTTTTTGAGGTTTATTCGATGGTCACTTTCTAGGAGACTTGGACGAAGCAGAAACAACTGCCGTACACGACGTTTGAATGTCTCCATTTTGGAGTTTGATGAAGGCAACCGAGATGAACGTTAGCTCTTGCTAACGGGAAGCACCCGGCGATTTGACGGGTTTATTCGAGGTTGTTCACATTAGCTTCCTAGGCCGAAGGGCTAACCTTGTGCTAGAAAGGGATGGAATCTCTTTTAGTCGTCGTCGTCCCCAACGTTTGAAAACATTGAAGCATTGTTTTGGAAACTTTATATCGATTGTGGCATAGAGCGAACCTAATAAAAACCCAATGAATGGACTTGTTGCTAAATGAATTGGGCTAAAATTAGCTAACTTTTTAGTTTGAAACCCGATTAACAGCACAGGGCTTTGTTTTAGGTTTCAAACATTGTCCCACTTTTCCACTCATTCCTAATTTTATTTTTAACACTTTTGTGTTGTGTACTTTGACTACGACGACTTGACAATTGTGCCATTTTAAAACGCCCATAAACATCCGAGTATAATAATAGGCTATGTTCAAAGTCGTGACATGACTTATGAAATGGCAGCATAGTGTGAAATAATGTCATGCGTGCATGCTAAAGAGTTCAACGTTAGATCCAACCCAATTCAAAGATGTGCATTTCTGTTTTTTGTGACTTGGAGCAGTTATTTTTTCCACAACATTTGATCGTTGTTTTTACAGTCAGAAGAGTATTGATGTTCTCATTGTGTACAGGAATCACCAGACTATCATAACATTTACGAAGTGTTTAATCAGATTGCTCACAAGAAAAATGGATGAATATTCCCATCACATCTGCTATGATCAGCGGTGCTGCCTTAAGCAATATTTTGTTTTGGATTCAGTCTGACGCAGTTTCTCTTTCAAATGTGGTAATATGTGAACTAAACCAGGAAGTTGTGTGTGTGTGTGTGTGTGTGTGTGTGTGTGTGTCTAATAAAGGGCAAGGAATTCTGTTTTGGGGTGAACAATGAGCAATATCGCTGTGAGATGGGATACTGCTGCGGAGAGACCGAATGCTGCACTTACTACTATGAGCTCTGGTGTAAGTTAGCACTTCATTCGTGAAGCATTTGACCGGTTTATTCTACAAATCTGTGGATGACACAGAGCCTGTCTCTAACCACGGCCCCACCATCAATCTTTCAGGGTTCTGGTTAGTTTGGACCCTGATCATCATGTTGAGCTGCTGCTGCGCCTATAGACACCGCAGGGTGAAAATGCGGCTGCAGCAGGAGCAACGGCAGCGCGAGATCAGCTTAATGGCCTACCAGGGTGCCTCCAGCTCCTTCATTTCACCTCCACCACTCAACCTCAGTGAGTAGAAGATTATTGAGTACATTGGGGGGGGGCAGGGTCCTCGGTTTCCGATGGTGGTGTCATAACACAGTGGTGTCATAACCGGAAATTCTAGGTAGTGGTGGGATATTAGAGATATTAAGAGACTGACACCCCGAGAAACACACAAGAACTGAAAGAGGCCGTAGTCAAGGCCTGGACAAGCATCTCGAATAAAGAATGCAACAGTCTGCTGAAGTTAATGCGTAGCAAGCTTGATTCACTTATTGGAAGTCAGGGTAAGGCCACCAAACCCCAAAAATTTCTCTTCTGTCTTTCAGGATTCTGGAATGACTGCAAGCTTCCCGACTACGAGGAGGTGGTGGGTCATCCTCCCACCCCGCCGCCTCCTTACTCTGAAAACCCTCTTGAGGCTGCTTCGGCTCTCCCTGCTCAAGTTAATCAGCCTGCAGGCGCTATCGCGGCGGCGCCAGAACCCTCGCAAGCCGCCCAGCCAGGGCCGGCCACCGATGCCTTACCATCCGACGAGGATGCCACCTCCTCTCCGCCGACCTCGACTCGGGAGAACGCCGGGGATCGGCTGGAGGAGGAGGACGACGATGAGCTCATCACTCGGCGCCGGCACGTGACCGGCGACTCAGGGATCGAGGTGTGCGTCTGCCAGCTGGACGACGGCTCGGGGCTGGAGGAGGAGAGTGACGAGGAGCGGCGCATGTGCGCGGCCGCCGGCGGGGAATGCTGCTCCCGCCGCCAGCAGCACGCCTTCAGACACAAGGAGCACACCTGCGACATGCCCAGCCAAGCCAGCAGCGCCGGCGACAGCATGGTGTGAGCCGGCGGGTTTTCGACCAGCCCAGCCAACCTGGTGCGACACTCGACTTTAGCATTGTCACCGCGTCTGCGTTTTAATCCTCTCGGCTAACAGACATCACGCTCAGGTGATAATGATCATTAACCCCTTGACATGACACGCCGATTTGTCCATTTTGGTTCTCAGTTTCTTTAGTTTTTGCATTGAGTGAATTGATTGGGATTGACTAGGCCATGGGTTCTCAAACTTTAGGGGTCCCGTTTTTTTTCCCTGTTGTGCGCCAGTTGAACATGACTACCATCTCTTCAGATTTTTTTTTTGGGGGGGGGGGTTGACCATTTCAAACCTAAATATTTGTGATATGTATGATGGAAAGAAACGTATCCGAATTGACTGAACTAATTCCATTGAAATTATTTCAATATTTAGCCATCGCCGCTAGCTGAAGAGGAGCCCAAAGCTAAGCAAGGGAATAGTCATTGGGTTATGTTATGAACGTAATAAATCACTGCAAATTAGTTTGTGGACCCGCAAGCTACAGCTTGCGGACCCCGGTTTGGGAACCCCAGGACTAGAGGACCACCACCACTTTTGGCTCGTTGGGAGCATTTCCGCCGGCTCCTTCAGTTTGACACTGAACCGTCCGCTCGGGATCTTAACCGTCGAGACGCATACCAGCAGGGTCAACCACATTTCCCTCCGGTCTCCACTCTGCTGAGCACATGAGTGGAAAAGAAAATGTGACTGGCTGACCGAATGAACGTGTTACACCAAATGTAGGTGCTCGGCTCAGGCAGGAAGATGGCACGGTCCTTCAAATGTTTGTTCTTTGTTGCGCTTCTTTAGTTTCCATCATTCAAGTCAAGGGGAAGGCCGGTGTTTTACTAGTGTAGTTTGGAAGATGGTTTGGAGACTTGTGTGCATGTTTTGATCTCAAGCCCCTGTCCCACTGAGCGGTGAACAATTGTCGTGTTTTTGAAGGCAACAAATCTCGCGTTCACTTCAGAGTAGATCAGTGTTCGTTCAAGGTCGCGAAACATTCGCCAGACATTCACCAACAGTTTTAGTGATTTTGATTTTTTTCAGTGGGATAGGGGCTTTCACTTTGTTTTTTTGTTTTTTTTTTTTGCATTGGCTGCAAAATTTTGGCCTCTGATAGTTGTGAAAATGTTCCCTGTGCCGTCGCAACGTTCTGGTCGCGGCCTCGAGCTTCTCTGTAGCCCCAGCTCTTGGCACCCAGGATTCATTTGTTGTGGTATTTTCCACTGGCAACAAAGAAAGGGAGAGCAGGGGTAGGGGGGGGCAGTTTGAAGTAGATGCTGGCAAACTCCAATTGTGATTAACTGCATGCTTCTCTTGCTGTCGCGTCTCCACAATGTATGTAGAAAAGGACAGTGGTCAAAACGGGGAGGAAATCAAAGATATGTATTGCGGATTCAACATGTGTTGAAGGCTAGCAGTGGTAAACGACACCATGTTGGAAGAACCAATGAGGAAATTGTACTTTGATTGAAGGATATACAGTAAATCCGATCTAAACAAACAAAAAAAAAGAATTGAACTCCCCCCCGAGTAATTTTCATAGCCTATAGTGATAGTTTCAACCATGAAAAAAATGATCCCAAAACAATAATTTCAAACACATCTTACTTTGGCCTCAATATGCTGTGACTAAAATATATTGTACTTTGATTGAAGGATATACAGTAAATCCGATCTAAACAAACAAAAAAAAAGAATTGAACTCCCCCCCGAGTAATTTTCATAGCCTATAGTGATAGTTTCAACCATGAAAAAAAAAAAAAGATCCCAAAACAATAATTTCAAACTCATCTTACGTTGGCCTCAATATGCTGTGACTAAAATAGGCCAATGTGGTATTAAAGTCCAAATTGCATCAATAATGTGTCTACAAAATGCCTCATAGTCAAAAATGTAAACAATTTAATAAGAGAGACACCCAAAAAAAAAATCCTTACCTTTACATCGACCATTGTAAACCGATTTGGTCTGTGTTGGCATCTTAAAAAAAGAAAAAAAACTCAAATTACAGCCCATTAAGATTTGAATAAAATCTTCTATGACCTCAACAAGGGGGTCTTGCTCCTGTTTTATGAAGAAAAAAAAAAGGAGTATTCCGGTGTACCTTAGCATCTGTCTTAGCCATGCATCAATGTTAACATTTCCATAAGTCATCTATTTTTAATTCTGCGACTGGAATGAGAAGTGCGCGTTTATTTTCAGCCGCGATTAAACGCCGACACGGACACTGGCGGGATTCAACGCCAGCTTCTCGCAGCGGTCCAGTTTTCACTTGACTGGCCGCACGTATGTTTCTTTTGCCTTTTCCCATAAAATAAGAATAAGAAAACCGTTATTCATCTCACAATGGAGAAAAATAACCTTTCTTGTGAAATTGAGACTATTTGCCTTTTGTTTAATGAAGACATTTTTTTTGTTCTCAGTATGGCTCAAATATTCCAATGCTACTTTATATACGTTGCAGAGAGAAAAAAAAGGCTGAGAATCAATTAAAGGACGTGCATTTGTGTGTGTGTGTGTGTGTGTGTGTGTGTGTGTGTGTGTGCGCGCGCGCGCTGAATTTAAGATGGAGGTCCAAAAGTTGCTCATCATGGCCTTCCTTGGATTTGATGTTTACTGAGATTTAAGGGCTATCTATAATCAGTCACGGTCGTCCACCCACTTTTAATGTCTGTTCTGCTCCTTTTGGGAGGCCGCTGGCGTTTTTCAGTTGAACACGATGTGATTGTATGACAATGAGTGTATTTTGGTTTTCGCGGGCTTCAACGTTTGCATTGCTCAACATTTGAAATTTGAACATTTTTCCTTCCCGCCCATTCAAGCCAAAGCGTCGAGTTTTCATTTCATCCTCATATCTGGAATGGTAGTTTTTGGGTTTTTTTTTCATCTGCGGTGTCGTGTATACGCCACTAAACCAGGCTATGCAAAAAAATGGGCATGAAAACAAAAACAAAACAAAAACTGAACTGAACTGTTCTATGCTGCCCCCACTTCCTGTCATGTGGGCACCAGTACTAGCAATATAACTCTCAGTACTGTGGCACAGCACCGTACTGTAATCTTTTTTTCTGTATGTGTGTCTCCGGTCTAATTTGTTAATGAAAAATATAAGTGTAATGCTACAGCAACAATGTATGTAAACAGAGGCGTTTAAAAAAAAAAAAAGGCAATTTTTGTTTGTGTACATATACTTTTATTCTGCATCCGTGTTTCTTTTGGGGTGGAGTGTCTGAATCCGATTGCAAGAATAATACTGTTACTCAGACAATGCAGTCACTGTCAAAAGTTTGGTCTTTAATGAGGCAAAGGACTTCTTACTGTTTGATTTAATCAAGTATGAAAACGGGTCACCGATTGGAAACATTTGGAGGGAAAAGTTAATAAATGAGGAGTCATAAATAACAGAAAAAGAAAGTGTCCTTTTCATAATTTACAAGGTTGTTCAAGATGGTCGTCTGCCTTTCAGCAACTCAGTTTTCGCGGGCTTCAACGTTTGCATTGCTCAACATTTGAAATTTGAACATTTTTCCTTCCCGCCCATTCAAGCCAAAGCGTCGAGTTTTCATTTCATCCTCATATCTGGAATGGTAGTTTTTGGGTTTTTTTTTTCATCTGCGGTGTCATGTATACGCCACTAAACCAGGCTATGCAAAAAAATGGGGAAAAAAACAAAAACAAAACAAAAACTGAACTGTTCTATGCTGCCCCCACTTCCTGTCATGTGGGCACCAGTACTAGCAATATAACTCTCAGTACTGTGGCACAGCACCGTACTGTAATCTTTTTTTCTGTATGTGTGTCTCCGGTCTAATTTGTTAATGAAAAATATAAGTGTAATGCTACAGCAACAATGTATGTAAACAGAGGCGTTTAAAAAAAAAAAAAGGCAATTTTTGTTTGTGTACATATACTTTTATTCCCCTCCTTTTGGAGAAAGTAACAGCTTACTTCCTTCTCAACCACTAACGTTTCTGATAAAGTTGCTAGGAAGAAGAAAAAAAAGTGTGCTTGCAATTGGAACGATTCTTATTTTTGGTGGGTTTGTCACTGTTCCGTCCATCCCTTTTGGTGCATATTGTGTTCAAATAGCGGCTTTCTTTTTTTTCATATTTAAACATTCACAAAAATATTAAACTGCTGCTTTTCATTCTTATGGACATACATTTTTGTGTATTGCATAATGGAAGACTTCAGTGTGGAAGATGGAAGTGGACTTGGAGGCGCTGTGGATGGATTGGTTTTGTTTCTCTTTCCAAATAATTTTCCTTGTTTTTTCGCCAAACTGTAAAAAGAGAGGAGGAAGCACTGACTGATGGCTAATATTGCTATATCTATATATTTTATTTTAATTTTTTTTTGGGGGGGGGGCCGGGAGGTTAAGTAATACGTCTGCTGTGTGATGTTTTGGTCATCATTTGTATTTTATTTTTTTAATAAAATTAAACGTCTACATATGACGAATGCATCCGTGTTTCTTTTGGGGTGGAGTGTCTGAATCCGATTGCAAGAATAATACTGTTACTCAGACAATGCAGTCACTGTCAAAAGTTTGGTCTTTAATGAGGCAAAGGACTTCTTACTGTTTGATTTAATCAAGTATGAAAACGGGTCACCGATTGGAAACATTTGGAGGGAAAAGTTAATAAATGAGGAGTCATAAATAACAGAAAAAGAAAGTGTCCTTTTCATAATTTACAAGGTTGTTCAAGATGGTCGTCTGCCTTTCAGCAACTCACCGCTCACAACAAAGCTTGTGGTGTGAACAGCGTTACACAAAACAAAAAGTTTCAGTGCACAGTCAGGGTTGAAATGATGGACGCTAATAAAAAAAAGAAAAGAGATGGAGCAGCAAGGTGTCGAGTAGAAGGAACTCTCGCGATACTTGGAGTAGAGTGATTCAGTTGCCTTTTGGAGGTACTGTTCTGCAAGAATTTAAAAGCGGTCAAATTAAATTCATACTCTCCCAAGACAAATTTGGTCTTATTTTTCAGATATTGAACGGAAATTTTGGACCGCTTTCGGGGTGTTCCACTTTAGAGGTTCTCAACTAAATACTCTTGGATGGAACTTTAGTGTTGGATCTCACCTGCGACGAAAGTCGGGCCGGATTTGAGCATTTCCGATCAGTTAGCAAGGTTAGCAAAGGCCCGACTGTCGGATGTCTGAAACATTTCTGTGTTGCGGGGAGTCTTTAGTTTTTTTTTCATTCATGAACAGCTCAGCAAGCAGCTTTTTTTTTTGTTTGTTTTGCCAAGTGTGCACAGAACCTGATATTGCGCCGAATGTTGCAGCCACTGACTGGATACACTGCTCCGAAACGCCAAGTCACATCTTCAACCCAAGCAGTAACAGGTGTTCAAGAAAGACGAACAGAGGACAAATCAACACATCACTCCGGGGATACGCAACTGGGAGTCGTGGTGAGTTGCAAAAAAAATTATTGTATCTTTTAAAAGGGGTATACCTTCACACGGACCCAGCGGCCATGAAAACGAACGTAACCAATTACTCCTCCCTACGTTAGCTCTCGGCCAAGTAAAAGCTCGGATAAATTTGGTAACCCTGCATGAATAACAATGAAGAAATCAAGGAGTATATTTTCAAGAACAAAGTACAATTTTTGGAGAAAATTGCTTTTCTACAAAAGAGAAGGCGCAATATATCGATAAAGTTGTATTTTTTTCCGATTAGGTTAAAATGACTTTACTGTAAATCTTTATTGATATCGCGCCTTCACAACAGCGCCAACAAATCACTTTACAGCACATTGAACATAAAGTAACAATAATCCCACTAAACACACAATTTTAGAGTCAATGTATCATCTTAAAGCGCCTTTCAATTAAAAAAAAATAATAAATTAACTACAGGCAGACAATGCATATGCAAACGGCAAAATAAGTAAGCGTGTTGACATGGTGGACGATAGCGGACATTTTGAGCTGTTAGCGAGTTACGTGATAATGTTGGACCTTCACTTCGCAACATGATTCATTTACCAACCTGACTATACTGTTGCACAAAAATGAAAACATAATATATCTCATCAAAATGAAACACATTTTGATAGATATGTTGCTGTGGGGAATATTTACACAGCATTTTTAGCAGAGTGGGACTTGTCAATATCACGTGCATGCAAAAACAAACAAAAATTAACTGAATAAAACGAAGGACGGACACATTGTGAGCGACTTATCGTTGGACTGGTTGTGCATGCAAATGTTTGGTGACGTTAATTTAAAAAAGACCTCCGAGTTTTGCTATTTACTATGTTTTCATGATGACTGACTGATTCTGATGAGGACACCAAAGGCATCCAAAATATTGACCCTTTAATATCATATCGCAATTTTACTTTAGTCAGATTATTTGTATCTCTACAAGTACTTATTTTGTTCTGGTCAAGATTTTTTTTTTTTGTGAAAAAATACAACTTTATTCTCAAAGCATAACTTCTTTCTTCCTGTAAACAACAACTTTGAATCTTTCTGGCATTTGAGGATGCATATGGTTGTGATCCTAGAAAACAATTCTCCCCACCCAAAAAGTTTGAGGATCCCAATCAACGGTAAAAGACTTGTAAAAATCAAAAATGGTTGCTCAGAAGAGGTTGAGCATCAAGTCCGGCGTCAGGATCCTGCTCCGTGAAGCGTCTTTCTCAAAACAGACCAACATCTGTCAGCTGCAGTGTGGACTCAGTGCAGTTAAATTCCCTCCCCAAGCGCAAACCCCAATCCACCTTTCCTCAGTAGAATCGCTTGCGCCGGTTCTCGTTCCAGTGGCCGTAGAGCAGCAGGCCGACGACAACCAGGAAGATGCAGCCCAGCATGGAGAAGAGTACCGTGAAGAAAATAGCTAATCCGCTCATTCCTTCCTCAGTTTGACCCACTGGAAGGCAGAAGAGAATGTCAGAGGGACGCAAAGACAGATGACTGTGTGTTGTGTGTGTCTGGGTTACATCTAAGCAGCTCCATGTTATCCACGCTGGGAATTGTGATTTCCTCCTCCTGGTCTTCCTCTTCCTGTTTGCTCCGCAGCACCGTCAGTTGGTAGAGTTTCAATGAGATGATGTCGTGGTTGTCTATTGATTCAAGTTGGTGGAAAAGTTCATTAGAACCCGAATGAATAACTTGAATCATGTAATGAGGAAATGAAGTGTTCTACCTGAAAGGTCTCCTGTAATTGCGGTGGCGCCAAAATAAAAGCCCTTGGGCAGCCGCACGCCAGGCAGATCCAGGCAGTCCCTCCATTCGTGTTGTCCATCAATGTCAATCATCACCTGAAAAAACACAGAGCGACCGTGAAGTGCATTCAGAGCACCGAAACGGTTCATTTGCTCACAGTGTCCACTTTTCCCAGGAGAATAATAACGAAGAACGGGCCTCACCGTCAGCCGGCGCCGGACGTATCGGATGAAGAGGAAGGTGTCGTGCTTCAGGTTGCGCACCATGGCGTTGCAACCCCCGAGCTCGGTGGGCCGGCCGTCGCGCTCGTGGTCGTAGCTGATGGTGCCGTTGCCCACCATGGCGAGAACGAAAGGGAAGATCCTCTTGTGGTCGGAAAAAGATGCACAGGTTAGAAGTCTTCAGTCATGATTGTGACTCGATTTTTTTTTTTTTTTTTTGCGTGCATTGTCGCTACGATGATTATCAACCTTCCTGGAGACAGGAACACCAAAACACACCGGTTAAACACGCACATTCCAAAGACTGTTACCTGCGTGCTTGGAGTATATCTCTTCTTTTGTGCCTGTTCCAATGCGATTGCACAAAAGAAGACAAAAGAACACCCCTTTACACAACATTGTACAACAGTAATCCCCCTGCGAGGGATCGCCTATAGCGGAAAACAAGCAATTTATTATCTCCTAAAATTGTTTAGAATGACCATATATTAATAATTTCAAAAGTAAATAGAGCCGGGTTCTACATTAATGGTGGTCACTGGTCACTATGTGACCGTGTCGGGCAACCGAATGTTCAACAACGCTGACCTGACTGGACCAGTACAAATTTCATCAGTACATACAAAGAAACCAAAATGTTTTTGCTTTATTAATCGTCAATACACATTTTTTTGTATGTGAGGGTACCTCTATCTGTTTCTCCTCATTGGGATACGTGTCCACAAAAACTCCCAAACCAGTGAAGTTGTCCTTGTTCCCAAATACAGGACCTGTGCGTGATGACAATTAAAAAAAAAAAAAACATTTTACAAAAAGTACATTAGCAGAAAAGAGCAATTTCGATAATTTTGTTTACCTTTCTGCATGCGTTCCTTCGTGTACCAAATAGCCAAGCCGTCACCATTGAGATTCTTCTTTCCTTTCCCGTGAATCTTGAAGTGCACCTGCATCTCCCAGTCGTTCAGATGACAAGGCTTGCAGGGTGAACACGATAAAACCAATTGTCATGTTTGGGTACCAAGGATGCACGATTACGAGCAAAATCGAGATTATTTTGTCCAATAACTAGCTGAATCGGCGAGGCGTTAGCTCGTCAATGTGATGATTCTTCCTCATCATCGATTTTTGCTGAACTTTCTTTCTCTCGATGTGACTCACTTTCATCGAGACACCGAGTAACTTTAGGCTACCGCTACGGGGTATGATGACTTATAATTTTAGGTCGGTTTAATGTAAATACTCACCAGTCGGCTCCATACCGCCCCCTGTCTGCTCTGCATGTCAGGTGTGAGTCGCACCTGCTCCGTGGTTACCATGGCATCGCCCATCAGTTCCCAGTGGGAGGAGCTTAAAGGCCCCACGGCTAAACACACACACGCACGGACGCACTTTTTTTTTTATCACGGTACGGTCACCTGTCGGTCAAAGTACCCTCGTGACAGTCAAACTGGTTGTTTTGTCAGCCATGAGACACCAGATATTGATGTTAAGGCGTTAAATAGCTAAAGCTAAACGGCATTACGTGTTAATCTTCTAGACTATTCTACTCGATGCATCGGGGGGGGGGGGGATACCTTGATAGGGTTTGGTGAGGGAATATTCCCGCTTCAAGAACTCTTCCATTTCGTGATCGTCGTCAGCGAAACACTGGCCTACGGTAAAAAGTAAAAGAATAAAAGAACATAAAATCGTAAAAGGCGTCATCTTTTGCGGAGAAAATAACATGTGTATTGATTTGGAGTCCCGCCTGTGCCTTCTGCAACTGATGGCGGCCATCGTGAGTCAAACGTCACCTCCTCATGAAAAGCCAGTGTCTTTCCTATTGGTTCGTCGGAACGCATGCTCACTCTCATTGGCTCAATTTTGCTGTCAATCACAATACATGTGTTCTAGTGGTTTAGATTTATAACAGAGGTGTGACCGTGGAGAAACGCTGTTACAAAATGTGCATGGTGCTACACATTAATGACATACTGTATATTTAGAAAGTATACGAAATTAATACAGAAGACATTATTGCAAAGAACATTTATACTTTGCATTGCCCTTTAAAATAAAAATGTCTGATAATGCTGGTCTTGTGTAAATCAATATTTATTTAACATTTCACACAGAGATAATGCAGCAAATTAAATCTAATATAACATTTATCAGTGCCTACTTTTATGTTATTAATAACCAGTGTTGGGGTAGCGTGTTGCAAAATTAATGCGTTTTATAGATGGTAAGTTACGTTTTATATTATTTGTGGTAATATTGAAACGAAATGTATTACTTTCAGATGCAAGAGCGTAGCAATATGAAATACATCACATTTTGAAAGTGAAATTTCCCAATGTTGTAAATTACTAAGGTAAAAGTGCCTTCTTGTGGTTCGGTTCGTAAACTACCGTCGTAAATCGGGACAGCCGCAGCGGACAGGAAGGCCACGCCCCCTCGAGAATCCCCGGTGACTGTCGGCTTTCTACACGTTCGTGAGCATTGGAAAGGCGATGGAGTAAATCACGGCGAAGGGAAGCATGGACATGACGGAAGAAAAAACGAACAAAGCGGTGGACATCTATCGCGACACATGGGTCCGCTTCCTTGGTGGGTCAGGTTTTTTCTTTTTTTACTTCTCCACCGTAATTGACTTGAAGCACACGCAGGAATGAGTCGAGGGAACAGGGTGACCCTGGAGCTGCTAGCTAGCTAGGTAGCTAACTTGCGGTGGCGAGGAACAGCTGTCCTAAAAAAAAAAAAAAATTCGATATATGTAGCAACGTTAACCGTCAAGGGCAATTTGTAGCACAATGCAGCGACAAACACATTTCTATGCATTGACGCTTTATCCGAGCTGTTTATGGTAAAGCTAGTGAGTTGTCGGAGTTAGCAGCTCAGTCAGACCAAAGTAGTTGAGCAAGTTGAGGCTGTGATTCACCAGCACTCGGAGTCATCAACTCCTGAGCGTGGATCACTTTTTTTGGTGTACTTGCGTGTCATAACAAAGCCTTTTTTTTAAAGTACAGGTTTTGTCCCACTGGTAGGGTTAAATGCAGTAAAGTGCAGTAAACAGTAACTTGAAGGACATTTGCGCTGCAGCATCATTTTGTGCATTACCTGTTCATAGTTTTTCACGTGCGTTGGAAATCAATGCTGTTATTTACTTTGTTGAATGGGTAATTAGAATTTTTCTCATTTCATATTTAATACCTTAATTTGTATTTCAAATGTCAGGTCAGATTTAATGTGTTTACAATCGAATTTTTATTTACCTAATTTTTTTCCAGTTTATCAATTCTTTGAGCTCTCAGCATGTTACAGAAGCATAACAGTTGCCTGAAAGAAAGACTTAAAGTTATCTGTCACAAAAAAAAAAGAAACAGGCTTGCTTCTGTTGACCATGTATGCCTCCCCTTTCCGCAGGCTACGCCAATGAGGTGGGGGAGGCCTTCCGGCCACTGGTGCCGGTAAGTTTGGTGTGGGGGAGCTACGCCGTGGCCACTGCTTACGTCACCGCTGATGCTGTGGACAAAGGCAAGAAAGCAGCCTTGGTGAGTCGGACTGGGATAGTAACTTGCAGTTGATGGCCAATCACGGCTCAGCTTGTGAATGTCACATGACCAGACTCAGTGACCTGAGCCCTGAACAAGTGTGATGTCATTTTCAGGGGACAAGTGGCAAAATCGCTTCCCCCCCAGAGATTAACCAATGCTTGTTTCCTCCAGCGCGTCAGTAGTACAGCGTGATTCTTCTTCTACTCGTTTAGGCGCACGGGGATGAGCCAGGCCAGACAACGCGGGTGGCGGCGGCCGTGGCTGACACGTTCGTGTGGCAGGCCCTGGCCTCCATCGTCATCCCAGGCTTCACCATTAACCGCGTGTGCGCCGCCACGCTGTACCTGCTGGGCCGCACCACCAAATTGCCCCTGCCCGTGCGCAAGTGGACCACCACGGCCGTCGGCCTCTCAACCATCCCTTTCATCATCAGCCCTATTGACAGGTAGCATGCTCCCCCCCGCCCCTCCCTACACTTTTCTTCAAAAGTATCGGGTCACTTAGAAATAGCAATAGTGCTGGAAAAGCTCTTTAATGAAACCAGGCAGTTGACGTTGTCATCCATTCTTTAAAAAAAAATTAAAAATTCAAAGTGACAACAGGTCTTTAAACGATAACAATATTTAAAAGGTTATGTGTTGTTTACCACATGTGCACCTTGCAGGTCTGTGGACTACCTGCTGGATTCGAGCCTGCGGAAGGTCTACGGTCACAGCGAGAAGCAGGAATAACAAGGCACTAAAAGGCTTGAAGCAGAAAAGGGATTTTTTTTGTTGTTGTTGTTCTTGACATCGTACTGTATATACCACTATGCAGGAGTGTTGCTGTCTTATTCTGACTGTCAAGTCAAGGTTCTTCTAATGTTACACGGCAGGGATGCATTTCGCTGTAAGCGTTCATACAATGGGGTACACGCAGACTGATATTAAAAATCTGCATTTGTGTACCTCTCCTTCACCCTACATTGTGGTTCTGCTATGAACTAGTCTGCCACAATATTGAACGACCTTGTTCCTCACAAACGATATCGTCTGGTACTTTTTTCCATTGCCGCACTTTGATTCTACCAAGCTGTTAGCCATGGGAGCTGTTGAGCTTTGCACTGGGAACGCAATTTACTCCACTTTGGCGATAATGGTACTGTGAATGTGTGAACTTCACGCGTATTCATCGCTGCTATCTAATTTGTTACTATCTTCAAGTACAATGTCGCTGTTTGTAGTGTTGAATGGCGGGGACTACGGGTGCGCAAACTACAAGCTATGCAAGGGATTAGCTGCTATGGGGCAACAAAGGGTATAGTTCAAACAATATTGGGAGTGTTTGAATTTATTTATGTGTCATGTTAGCAATAACGGTCAATGCTGTTTTACGTTTATTTTCATGTTTTGGTGGTGGTTGGTGAAAAACAGTGAGGAAAGGGAGGCTCATGATACTCTATATTCATATTCAGTGTTAATATTTCAGTTTACTTGTGATAGTTGTGTGACTGCATGTCACTGATGTAAAGAAATACTGTACAGGTATTTTTTTCTTTCTATTGTGTTGGGATTTTGGGGATAGTTTAAATTTTAGGATATTTTCACTTCATGGAACATTAAAGCACAGCAAGTCAAAGTGGACACTCCCCTACTGTTGTCAACACTGGAGGAAAAAAACTTTTGTGCAACTGTTGTTAAATAAAGACTACAATGATGTGCATATTGTGTGTTTTTATTGACTCTAAATCAGATGCTCTCATACTTCACTGGCCCAGGCACCCCACGTGAGTAGTACTGGAGTAGCTAAGAACTGTACTTAGGTAAAGAGTACTGAGTGAAACTCAAAAGCGTGGTATGACTACCACTTGTGTGGTCAAAAGAAGGACTGAATTCAATGTTCAAACTGTATAACGTGAGCGGCTAATTTTATTATTTTTTTTAACATGAACAGCACAGTCCAGGAATAAAACCTCTGCCTTGTTTTCGATGAACATTTATTTATTTTATTATTGGTCATGATGGTGGAACTGGGTGTTAGAATAATGACTCAAGTTAAAAGTCCCTCCCCAAAATTTCTTGAGCAAGAGTTCGCATTTAGGGGAAAAATCATAATGCGTAAGTTCTCAGTATGACACTGTGAAGTTGGACACTAATACCCGGATATTACTTTTGTAAGGCAGATGTTTTAGTATATAGCGTTCGTATTGGATTTGATTATATTATGTATGTATACATACACACCTCTGGAAAAAAGAAATGACAAGATCACCCACTACGCTGTCACTGACTACCACTTGTGTGGTCAAAAGAAGGACTGAATTAAATGTTCAAACTGTATAACGTGAGAGCGGCTAATTTTTTTTTTTAACATGAACAGCACAGTACAGGAATAAAACCTCTGCCTTGTTTTCGATGAACATTTATTTATTTTATTATTGGTCATGATGGTGGAACTGGGTGTTAGAATAATGACTCAAGTTAAAAGTCCCTCCCCAAAATTTCTTGAGCAAGAGTTCGCATTTAGGGGAAAAATCATAATGCGTAAGTTCTCAGTATGACAGACCCGGATATTACTTTTGTAAGGCAGAGGTTTTAGTATATAGCGTTTGTATTGGATTTGATTATATTATGTATGTATACATACACACCTCTGGAAAAAGAAATGACCAGATCACCCACTACACTGTCACCTTTTCTCAGATTTTGCTTATGTTTGAGTAACACAAATAGTTTTGCTTTATTCTCTAAACCACTGACAACACAACAAAGTATAATTCCAAATATTGTAAAAAAATATATATTGCTACTTAGACCATTAATTTTGGTTTCCTAGGTTTTTTTTTCTCCGATTCCCGGTTTTAACTGAAAAAACTCGAACCAGTGTTCCTAATCGACCTGCAGCTGATGCCAATTTCCTCGAGTGAATGTAGTGCATTTAAGGAGAAAGAACGCCATCTTCCGACTCCCACTTCAGCCATGTCGCTTCTTCTTCATTTCGTGCTTTTGGCACTTTTCAGTTTCACACCATCAAGAAGTCATCGAGGTAAGAGGTGTGCTCCCTGCTCGCTTTATTTGCAGCCAAGCTCAAACAAAACCGCTCACGTTTAATTGACACTTGAAAAAATAATAAAAAAAATAACTTTAAGACTTCTGGAAGTCTGCAAGGAGGATTGATTAGTGAAGTGTTGTTTTGAGATTAAATCCATTTAATTTGAAAGTTTATGGAAAAAGACATGCTTAAAAAAAGCCTTTTTCTGCACCATTGTTTATTTTGTGGTAAAACTATTTTCACTGAGGACACACATTTTTACCGCTTGCTGTCGAGTGAAAATGACATCACACAGTTCCTAAAGCAGGGGAAGGGAACTCCAGTTCCTCGAGAACTGGATCCTGCCTGTTTTAGATCCCGCCCTCTTCCAACACACCTGATAAAATGACCAGCTCATCAGCAAGCTCTATCGAGGCCTGAAACGATCATGAACAATTCAATGCGGCGTGTTGGCGTAGGGAGAGATCCAAAAACAGGCATGATGTGGCTCAAGAGGAACCGGGGTTCCTTAGCCCGGCCCTAAAAGGCTCAGTTTGTGAATGTCACGTGACCAAACGAAGAAAACAGGTGAGCCTTGACGAGCCCTTAGGCACTGTGATGTCATATTCCGTCGACGGCAAGTGGCTGCACATACACTTAATACTAAACCCCGTATACATATTTAAGGCCTTCCCACACACATCCTGGGCCAATGGATCTTCTCTGAAGAGAACTCGCCGGATGAAGAACTCGACGCGCTTTTTCAAAAGTCCTCCGAAGACTCCCTGATCCTGATGATGCCAGAGAGCACGGCGGTGGTCGACAGCGTCACTCAACTACCACACCCCGAGAAGCCGATGACCACGACAAGAGAACCACTGCTTGTCAAGGCGCAAGGTAATGTCATGCTTAACTTTAGTTTCCCCTGAGTGGCCTTTTAACTGGTTTTGTTGTTTTTGTTGTTGTTTTGGATGATCCAGATGAGAAAAAAGCAGGATCCACAATGTGGAAGGTGGCTGTGGTGGTGGCCATCCTGCTGGTGTGTGTCGCGGGATGTGTGAGCACGGCCTACTACCTGTGTGTCTGGAGAGGGGGTCGCATTCATTATCAGCCTCATAAAGTGGAGGCTTGAGTCAATAAAAATTAGGCTGTGACATCATTTGGTATTGAATGCACGAAATAAACTTTTTCTTTTCCTTTGAATGAGACACCTTGTTATAATGATGAGGAAAATGGTTCTAGCGTTGGAGAAACATGTAGTACAGTTGTGGAAGTTCAGTGTCAGACCTGCTTCAAATCAAAATCTGTGATTGAGAGAAAATGTATTTAAATATTTTGATACGCTTATTTTTGGATTATACTTATCCGTTTGCCGGTTTTAAACCTCAAATGTGGCCCTGTTTCCCCTGAGTGGCCTTTTAACTGGTTTTGTTGTTTTTGTTGTTGTTTTGGATGATCCAGATGAGAAAAAAGCAGGATCCACAATGTGGAAGGTGGCTGTGGTGGTGGCCATCCTGCTGGTGTGTGTCGCGGGATGTGTGAGCACGGCCTACTACCTGTGTGTCTGGAGAGGGGGTCGCATTCATTATCAGCCTCATAAAGTGGAGGCTTGAGTCAATAAAAAATCGGCTGTGACATCATTTGGTATTGAATGCACGAAATAAACTTTTTCTTTTCCTTTGAATGAGGCACCTTATTATGAGGAAAATGGTTCTAGCGTTGTAGAAACATGTAGTACAGTTGTGGAAGTTCTAGTGTCAGACCTGCTTCAAATCAAAATCTGTGATAGAGAGAAAATGTATTTATTAAATATTTTGATACGCTTATTTTTGGATTATACTTATCCGTTTGCCGGTTTTAAACCTCAAATGTGGCCCTTGACCAGCATTTTTGTCCAAGATTGCAATAAATCCTTGTGTGAATGCCAAAGGAATCCCTGTTTTTTTCTTAATGACCTTACTTTAATCCTAACACTTTTTTTCGTAATTCTGTATCCTTCCACATTTTCACAAACGTTGCACATGTTTCACAAATACCATTCAACGTCATTTCATATTTTACATAGCTTTCAAAATATAACACTTTTCACCCACCTTATGCATATTTTCAGCGTATTCATAATTCAATCTTTCGAAATAGTTTTTTTCACTCAATTTCTGTAGAAATTGCGTTTTCTTATCGAATCTCTTCCAAATGTTGCAAATCCTTGTAATTTTATCTAATGACCAGCAGAGGTCGGTACTGCTCTTATTTTCCAACATGTCAGAAGCAAAATATTTGGTTCCAAACTTGGAACCAAATTAACATAAAAGTAGGCCATATAGTCATTTCCTTTTGCTTTACGATATATTTAAAATCAAATCTGCATAAATTTGAGTTCTAAGAAATGAATCCACAAGTCAAAAAGCAGATTCCCATCAATTTCACTACTATACTCATGAGTCCCCCTTGAAGCAATATCAGGTGGCATTGGGGGAGCTGGTGAATTGAATTAATCCCCCCCCCCCCTCCTCTGTGATGGATAGGCCTGTTCACAGGGGTCTGCAAAATGGAGCCATTGTTCATGTGTCACTCCGATTGTCACGTTCCTATATGATTGGTGCTTGCCTGGCGAAGGCCACAAGTGGACGAAAGACCTCCCTCTCTCCTCCTTATTCTTCCTTGTCTCCTGTGTCTCCCCAGCCCACCCCCCCCGATCTGTCTCAACGCTTAATTCTACCCCCCACACCCCACCCACAAGTGTTTTCCATGAAGCCAGATACACAAAAATAAGTCTAAACTTGAGACACACTCATAAATGTAATTTTTTGCTCTATTATATACGCAGATGTCAATGTGAGCCTCTCAAGGGCGATTATCATTCATAAATACACAGTTGGGTGCCTGCTGGGTTGCAAGTGTTTACAAAAAAAAAGATTCTCCTCAGGCTGCCCCTGACTGAATTGGGTCAGAATTTTTGTCAGTTGCAGTTATGTAAAAATTCAGCCATCTGTTTTTGAAACTTATCTGTAATCAGAGCATTTGTAACTGTTACAATATGGAGTCATTCCAATTTGACATTTATGAAAAACTTTGTAATGTCAAAAATTTAATACAGAGAATTTTCATCAGAGGTCATTGATAGATGGAAATAGTCAAACCTTTTTTTTTTCTTCTTCTTTCCAACAGGCCGCCAATCACGGTGCATCAGGCGCTCTTGCTAAATTATTGGCCAGTCAGCGTAATGGATGGAGCAGGCCACTTCCAGCCAGTCAAAACCCAGAAAAGGCAGCGTGAGGCAGAAATCACAACATTTTAATATAAAGTTGACAAACAATATTGAAAATATCGTTCGTAAAAACAAAAATAAATGAACAAACCTTCAAATTCTTATCAAGACATGTCAGGGTTGTGTTGCTCAATCTTTTCTGTCATGACAGAAATATATCTATAGATTTCCAGATCCTTGTTTTCATACGCCACAATGAAGCGAGAGTAAAAATGTCAGCCCCTTTCAAGTAATGAAATGATTTGACACAATCATTAGTCATGGTCAATTGATAGTAATTGTATTACGCCACAATTGTGGTTTCTACATCACCGTCCTCCAACGGCGACAAACAAGCAGACACGCACACAATGACCCCCCCCCCCACACACACACACACACTTGAGTGAAGGAACATATTTGTAGAAAGGCCACTTTAACGGCA